GTCTTAGAGAATGAAGTTTAATATTGCGTACCTCGTCACTTCCTTGAAACTCCTCTTGTATTGTATTCCAAGCTTGTTTTGCACTTGTGGCACCAATTATCCTTGGAAAAATTGTCTCATCAACTGCTTGTTGAAGAACAAATAAAGCCCTTGAATCCTTCTGCTTGTTTTCTTTCAACTCCTTCTTTTGAGCTGCAGTAAGAGTAGAGGTGTCTTCTGGAATATTGAATCCCTCTTCTATGATATCCCATAAATCTTGAGAGCGGAAGAATGTCTTCATTTTGACACTCCAAAAATCATAATTTTCTCCTTTGAAAATAGGTACTGGAATTGATGATGTTTGATTAGTAGTAGCCATGTGTTGAGAATATATTTGGAAGTAGTAGAATGAGTTATAGTTTTGTTTGAGGTAGTTGAAAATTTTATCTACGCCCAGTAGATGACCGAACGTAGCTCTGGTACCACTGTTAGTATTTTGAAGGTTGTGAAAGGAGTAGTTGATGTGGTAGAGAAAATGTAGAGATAGTAGAATGTAGAAGTAGTAGTTGAAAGAAGTGTTGTAGTTGTCTTTAGTTGTAATAGATGTTAGCTCATACAAATGGTAGATGTTGGCTTCATACATCAAATGGTAGAGTTCATGGGTATTTATAGACCCATAGATTATTCTAGAACATACTAGCCACAACTTATGTGGAATGTTCTAGATTTTTACCTATGTAGAATATTCTTGATTTTTCTTCCTATCTTAGGTTTTTCTAGAATATTCTAGAACTTGTATTACATTTCAATTCTTCTATTTAAGGAGCTTCTACATTCTTCTAGAATTTGCATTACACTTTAATATTGTTGATGTTAGAAGTCCCAACTAAAATCAAAATATAATTTGTATTTTAGATTGACTATTCAAATTTAAATTAATGATTGTATAATTCAAAATATAATTTTATTTTACAGATTATGTAATATAAAAAACAGAGCATGAAAATATATTAGATATAGTAATGATTGAATTCAGTCGTAAATTTTAATATGGCAAATGAATCCAGATACTGAATCTTGAAAACACAAGTTATGGCCATGAATCTGAAAAAGAATCTAGAAAGTTAGAGAATTATGAGTCTAAAAGTGATAAAAAAAAAGTTCTTAACACACGGTTGAGAGTGGACCAACAACTAAAAACCTAATAATATATTTTCTTAACACTTGAACACGAAATCAAGGTAACTTTGCAAACACATTTCTTTATTTACTTTTCTTCCTTAATTACAGTGTCTGACTTTCTTCTTCACATTTGACAATATCCATAATTTCATTCTCTTTTGGGCATGTCGAAGGGTCTGTTTTTTTTATAATGATACGTTTGACAACATTTTAACATCATTTACGTGTTATTGGTCCAAAATTATTCCTCAATCAATAATAATAATCATAAACATCAACATGGACCAATCACAGAATGACACGTAAATGATATTAAAATATTGTCAAAATATCATTATCTTTTTTTTTTTCTTTCTTGATTTGTATAAGGGACTTTCAGTCCTTTTTTCTATATAAGAAAAAAACATAATTAGGATCATTTCAAATATGATTAAACAGTAACTTTTAAGTATTTGAAAAACGTTTAAGATAAAGTTTCGAGTACTCTAATATTATAATAAGAAGTTAATTTTAAATTTAATTTTATAAAATAAAGTTTTCTTCTATGAAAGTTACTGTGGAAAGGCACGTAAGTTATGCAACAGAAATAGGAGTCGAAATTGAACCAAAACGTTTGACCAGAAATTCTTACAGTATCTTAAAATATTACGAATTTAATAGATAGAAAATGATGATGTGATGAGTATCTAAAAGTATGTAACAGTGACTAATTTAGCACAACTAGGTTATGAATTGACGGTGGTGTGGAAAAAGAGAATCAGAGAAAAAGTTAGTGATAAGAAAAGAAGGAGAATCCAAACACATAAAACAGTGACAGTTAACTAGATGACCAAACACCCACAGAGATAAATTATTTGAAGGAAGAGAAGGAGATAGTTGAAGACATTGAGAATGAATGAAGGATGTGTGAGCACATGCAGAAATTGCTGATACCCAATTTTTGTCTTGACTTTGAGTGGTTTACGTGGGAACGCAGTCACCGGGAGAGAGAAAGATTGGTAAGAGTTAGCTTGCAGGTTGGTATCTTTGGGATGGTAGCCCACCTGCATTAACTACCCTGTTTCTGTTGCTTTTTTTTTTATTAAGGTAATGGTTTGATACTAAGGTGGTCTAAATACTTATCCATATATCTTCTTTCAAAAGCTCTCTTCCTAAATAAGATATCTTATGTATATATAAATTTTGTTTGTAATAAGAATATTTGAAAAACTTGTTTTATGGTTGAAAGTGAGAGTGAAAAGGTGAGAAGGTAGCAGTGTCCCTGCATTGACACCAAGGTTGACAATGTATATGTAATCAAAAGTCGTTTTTTTCTTTCTTTAAGAAAGAAAGTGGTTAAAGTTTATTAGATCTGCAATCATATTACAGTATCAAAGACAGAGATTACAGAAGAAAACAATTTTAATTTGTAAAAGGTAACCAACCGTCACCTCTGACCATTTTTCAATCCCTGATGATGTTGTTGGACTTTGGCCGGCCATGTTTTTTTTCTGGAAGCCAACACAGAATAATGAAAATCTCAGCTTTTTAGGTTTAACACAGGGAGAACACAAGATAATAGAGGGCAGATGAAAATGTTAATTGTTTCGACGGGATTTAGAACCTTAATCCAAAACATTCAAAGTTGTCTGCTCTGATGTCCAGTTCGGCTGTCTTCACTCTTCTCCTTGTCCGAGCCGATGGGAAGGGTGCCTGCAAAAGACACTCCGACGCTCAAGTCAGTGACTTTGCGTAATAATCTTGTAATCAAGATTTAGTTATCTAAGCTCTAAGTTTCAGTTCAAGTTCCAGTTATCTTTACCCTTTGCCAGACAAATATTTATAAATTATAATGAGCTTGCCGTTAGGTCTGACTCATTAACCACCAATTAATGACAATATTAATTGTCAATAAATGATAATTATTTTCATTAACTCCCCGACAGTTATTACTATTAATTACTTTAACAGCTTATTTAACCGATCGGTTCATTGACCTGAGAGGTATTATCGGTCGGGTAGATTTAACCGATCGGTTTATTGATCTGAGAGGTATCATTCTGCACCCTCACCGTTCGGTTGGCTATGATCCCATAGTAACATTAATATAATTAATGCATCTAAGTATTTAAAAATTTAATAACAATAATGATAATTTGAAGGTAATGTAGTGTGATAATTTCGTTTTGGAGTAGTGTTGATGGTGATTCATATCAGTTGCACATATTCATCATACATTGACCACTGCCACCTTTTCCTCCGTTCCTTACCATTTTCTTGAGTCTTAGTTTCAAATTTTTCCACATTTGATCCAGGAACTGTTCGGCGTCATCCATCACATGGCGCCAAGTTTTACGCATATTTCTTGCCTACTTTGGTAGCTTTACGTGCACAACTTAGTAAATTTATCAATACAGTGAATGCATTTTGAAACTTTTTCCTTCTTTAACAAGGAGAAGTAACCAAAAAGTGTAAGAAAAATGTTCTTTTAATAACTTATTTTAACAATTTTTATACAAAGTCCTGATCTGTTAAAATATACGGATCAATAAAATAATGTCATATAATTTATTGTAAAATAGTTGTTAAAAATATTTCTTAATAATATATCTTGATGTAAATACATTATAAGAAAATAAAGGAAGATTTTATCCTCGGTTGCCTTTGGTCTCTGGAACTGTATACTGTATACTTTCCGGTGAAACTCATTATTTAATGACATGTTGTTGCAACACTCGAATCATAGTATTCATGGCACTGTTTTTTATTAAAGGAAACGATGATCCAAGAAGACCAACAACATCAGTCATATTATATAGGTGTTCTAATATAAGTGGTTGTGAGTGAAATGTACAGAGGATATGTTTGGACAGTTTTTCAGATAATTAAGGTGTGGTTTCGTGAATGGTTGCTCTAAAGTTGATGATGCAATTCGGCCAATAACATTATTCGTGGATGGAGAAAACCTTGCCTCAAAACTACGTCTAACATCAATCACCCCCCCTTAATAATAATAATAATAATTATAAATATTTTGTACTTTTGGCAAAGTTGTATAAAAAATGGTCCTTGAGAGCATAAACACACCCTTTAATCAATACCCACGCATGAATTGTATAAGATAAGCAATTAACTTGCATTTGTAGGAAGTGTAAACCAATAATCAGGAACTCAATTCTATCAAGACGGAGAAAAGATTATTTAAAGTAATTTTTATTGACTATTTGAAAAAAAAAAGGTTAATAATAAAACATACGGGTCATTTGACACATTTAATATGACACATTTAATATGAGTAAAATAATCATAAAAGAGTGATTTTTTAGTTTTATGAAAAGTAACAGTATTATACACTTTTACATTTATTTATGTAAACTATAAAAATAGAATGGTTATAAAAATATAAATTTTTATATTTTTTCAAAACAGAGTAAAAGGTAGATAAAGATAATATCTGTAAAAAAATTTAGGTGTGTTAAATAATATTTTTCAATGTTAAATTATCATTTTAGAAGAGGATTTAAAAAAAAGAAAGAAAAAGACAGAAGAATATTTGAGGGGAGAAAGGAATTAAAAAAGAGTAGTTTTGTTGTAGAGAAAATAGTATTGGACCGAAAAAGGTGGTAGTGCATGAGGAAGAATTACGTGGTTAGGCCACAGTAGATGGACGCCCCCACCTAACAGGAAGTAATTTGAATTTCAAACAGTGTGATGAATAAGATAAAACAGATAATGAGATGAAGTGTAAAAAGAGATACATACGTTTGGGTAATTCATGAATTAGGAGTTGTAGGTCACCTCCAAATAAAACCCATACATTAGTCAAAACCCTATATTAATATCCAGCAAAATCAAACCTTCCACATCCATTTCCATATATACTGCATAACCTTCAACCTTCCTTCTCCAACTCATCAACCACTTCAACACCATCACTCCCTCTGAAGCTCCCCCAGAAGCAATGTCATCTCGCATTGTTGCGGACAATTCATTAGCGATCAATAATGTCACCACTCCCTACTTCGACTTAATGGAAATGGACGACCTCACGCGCCGCCCCGCCTCCGCTGAGATGCCCACCCTTGGCCAGCTCCTCAAGCACGTCGGGGACGCCAGGAAGGAAGCCTCCGGCGACGGAAGCGAGACGCCGGTGCATCACGCGCTAGATATAGTTGACGCCGCCGGAGTTGGGCCTCGCTCGCTGCCATTCGTCCTCTCCTTCAGCAACCTCACATACAGCGTCAAGGCGCGCCGCAAAATGAGCCTCTCCTCTGTCTTTCCATGCCGTGGAAGCCGCCTCGGCGCGTCCGCGGTATCCGAGGCTCCTGCCGTCGGCGAGAGCATGTTCAGGCGGACCAAGACGCTCCTTAACGATATCTCCGGCGAGGCGCGCGACGGCGAGATCATGGCGGTACTCGGCGCCAGCGGTTCTGGAAAGTCAACACTGATCGACGCGCTGGCGAACCGAATCGCCAAGGGAAGTCTAAAAGGCACGGTGGCGCTGAACGGCGAAACGCTGGAATCGCGTCTGCTGAAGGTGATCTCTGCGTACGTGATGCAAGACGACCTGCTCTTCCCGATGCTCACCGTGGAAGAGACTTTGATGTTCGCAGCGGAATTCAGACTTCCTCGCACGCTCTCCAAGTCGAAGAAAAACGCCCGCGTCCAGGCTCTCATCGAGCAGCTAGGTCTTCGGAACGCCGCGAAAACAGTTATCGGCGACGAAGGTCACCGCGGAGTATCAGGCGGAGAGCGTCGGAGAGTTTCCATCGGCATCGACATTATCCACGACCCTATCCTGCTGTTCCTGGACGAGCCAACCTCGGGACTTGACTCCACCAGCGCGTTCTTGGTGGTGAAGGTTTTGCAGAGAATCGCACAGAGCGGAAGCATCGTGATCATGTCCATTCACCAACCGAGTTACCGAATCCTAGGGCTTCT